ATTTCAATTTGCATTATTGATGCATTTGATGATAGGCCGACTGGCAAGAAAGAATTTCTAAAAGGTTTAATCTCTTATAATAAGTTTCTTAAGCCTTAGTGACATCACTGCTGTTGTTAAAGGTTATTTATATGCTAGCCAACTTGTTGATTTTATCAAACACCTTACGTTTTGAGTATTTTCGGCCTAATATATCTAGCCGGATTATTGATAACGTTACCACCAAATGGACCTTTTGCGTTTAACAGTTTTTTTCTCGGCCAAAGTAGCCATTTTAAAACCTAAGAGTGCAACCTTTTTTTTTTTTTTCTCTCTCTCTCTCTCTCTCTCTCTCTCTCTCTCTCTCTCTCTCTCTCTCTCTTCTCCTCCTTTCCTACTCCTCGCTCTTTCTCTTTCTCCGTTCTTTTTCCTTCGTTACTGTGATGTTGGAGCTTCTCAGGCTTAAGAAACATGCACGCCTTTTAACGCGTTTTCACTCAAATAACTGCAAATTTCGTTAGGTTGGTTTTCAAAAAATCAGTTAGATGTACTTTGAAGGAAATTTGGATTCTACCAATAAATCAAAAAAATATATGACGTTATAATGACGCCAGATGACGTCATTATGTCAATCACGTTATACACGCTCATTTTTTCGATCATGAGCCCCAAATTCGGTGTCAAGCGCAACACCCAAGTGAAAAATACAGCCAAATACGCAAAATACAGTTGACAGGAAAGATCATATTTCATAGGGGATATCATCTCACCGAGTGGTGCGAATAAGATAAGACTAATAAAACCCAAGCAAGCCTTAAATATGTCCATGCATCACCCTTTTTTTTTATCAATGCTGTTGTTGTTGTTGTTTTTTTTAACATTTCCTTGCCGTGGGGGGTCGCTTCACGGCTTCAGCCTCAGGAGAGTTCGCCAACATTTCACAAAGCAAGCGAGTTGGAATAATCGCCATAAAGAATAATACAACGCGAATACACTTTTAAGCGTCGATTTCACCGCTGTAGCCGTCGTGGTATCTTAAACTCTCTGTCTTGAGGCATTAACGGGTGGTCAGAAAAAAAATTACTTCCGGTCACAGTACTAGAACCTTCCGTAGTTTTTTTGCTGTAGTCCCTGTTACCATTATCATTTTTATCATCATTATCATTTTCACCATCACTATTACCATCGCTATCAATATCACTGTGACTGTCACTGTCAATATCATTATCATTAACATTATCATTATAATCATAAATATATACTCACCACTGACACAAGTTTTTTGATAACCATTATCTGTTAACACACACCTCTGTCCATTGGGACAGTTTCCGTCAATACATGGGCTCGGTTCTATAACATTGAAAATTAAAAACTACAATTAAAGAGGCTTATTTTAGCCATACCTCTGACAACTATATTAACTTTGAGCGCATGTTTGGAATAAGGTATATGACAATCTCTGGAATCCATCTGAAGCGAAGAAACGTTAACCCATTGACGCCCGAGACTTTTTAAGGTTTCGAGTGATTTTTTTTGTTTTTGGTATATATAAACAATCCATAGGATTTCGTGACTCCTTATTTGAGGTTACCATGGAAAGTGGTACACAGCCATTTTTTCACTTTTAATAGCTCTCTGCCTGATGAGCATCATAAAGCGTGACGGTAGCTAAGAGTCGTTTGCTCGTGGAAAAACGTCCGCTCCGAAACGAAGTAGCTTTAGAACTCGACTACTGATGACTCTGGCATATTTTGGAACTTTCGACCACTGAAGATCACAATAAGCGCGAAATTTCCGTGAGAGGTAGGATCTGCTGTGGACTTGTTGAAAGAAGTGGGGGTGCGAACACTAACAACAATTGTGGTCATTTCTCAGCATGCAATGCAGTTTAGCCTCCCGGCCCATGCAGCAGTTCTAAGGGCTTTGTCACGTGCACCTTGCCCACGAAAGTCTGCTGAAACGAGCAGCCACTTTCCTTCTTTGGCATCGGCTGATTATGACGCGAAAGCAAATCATATACTGTAAGGGAAATCGACACTCGTAGGTCACCCGTGTAGTATTTTTCGCGGTAAGCCTCTCACCAAACTACTCATCAATTTTAATCAACCTCGTCCACAGGGCGCTTTTCCCTGGCTTTCTATGAGGTGGGGCGGGAAAAGGCCAAGGCATCGGCCGGTCACATGACCACCAAACACCAGGAATTTGTGAGTGTATAAATTAGCATACGATCGCATACGATAAACAAAACATCGAAGATGGCAGGTAGACCAGAGTTCTTATCAGTGCTTCGCCGGGTAGGATTTTCCCGGAGTAACGGTAACTTTCCATCGCTTAATTTTAAACCTCTTCAAGTAAAATGTTTCGAATCTATCCTTAAAGGCCAGGATGTTATTAGTCTGCTACACAGCCGTTTTTAGAGTCGTCACGCAATGCTCCTCCCCACTAACGGCTGCTGAAAACCGAACTACATTCCTTTCCCGTGATTAGCCAATTATAATTCAGCTCCCATTTTCTGGAAGGTGTTCGCGCCACGTTTGCGGTACTGTGACNAGTCTGCTGAAACGAGCAGCCACTTTCCTTCTTTGGCATCGGCTGATTATGACGCGAAAGCAAATCATATACTGTAAGGGAAATCGACACTCGTAGGTCACCCGTGTAGTATTTTTCGCGGTAAGCCTCTCACCAAACTACTCATCAATTTTAATCAACCTCGTCCACAGGGCGCTTTTCCCTGGCTTTCTATGAGGTGGGGCGGGAAAAGGCCAAGGCATCGGCCGGTCACATGACCACCAAACACCAGGAATTTGTGAGTGTATAAATTAGCATACGATCGCATACGATAAACAAAACATCGAAGATGGCAGGTAGACCAGAGTTCTTATCAGTGCTTCGCCGGGTAGGATTTTCCCGGAGTAACGGTAACTTTCCATCGCTTAATTTTAAACCTCTTCAAGTAAAATGTTTCGAATCTATCCTTAAAGGCCAGGATGTTATTAGTCTGCTACACAGCCGTTTTTAGAGTCGTCACGCAATGCTCCTCCCCACTAACGGCTGCTGAAAACCGAACTACATTCCTTTCCCGTGATTAGCCAATTATAATTCAGCTCCCATTTTCTGGAAGGTGTTCGCGCCACGTTTGCGGTACTGTGACTCCTCCAATCATAGCTTTGCTTTTATCGGTGCCTCATGTGTGAATGACAGAATAATCAAAATCGTCGCGTGAAAACAAGCAATTAACTAGTGTTGTCGTAGTCGAGTCCTATTCAAAATTTAGAAGATAAGCAGCAGCAGCAAGCAAGTCGAGCAAATTGCGATGCACAACGTGGATGTGCTCATAAAGTTGCCAGGTATAGTTTCGGGAAATAGCTCATCGATAATTTACAAGATTGCTTTTTGAATCAGTACCCTTGAGAGTTTAGTCTTCACAGGAACACAATGAGCACATTCAGCACATTTAAATTTGTCCATTACGTATCAGTACATATGCACGTCAAATGAAGAACCAACCGGTCCTGGTAAAAGTCTTCTAGGCCTATCAAACCTTTATTTCACTTGAAACTTTCTTGTAAAAGCAACTAAGCACAAAGCCGACCCGGCAACTAATGAGGTTCGCGTGGAGAACCGAAACCATGGTCTTGCCTGATCACAAAGCGGCAATAGCAAAACAGTCCAAACACTGTTAAGCTTTATTATTCAAAAGCTATTACCAGGGAAGGAAATACACGCTGCAGTCAAAAGACTTATAATTTTATTATCTTGAGAAAAAACACGAAGCTGTAGTCTACTAAGACACAATGCAATTCTCCATAGTTGATGCAGCTTAAGTTTAAGCTGCATTTCATTCTCATAATTTTGGACCTGTAAATCACTATCCGTAATAATTTAACATGCCTCTAGAAAACTAAGCTTGGCCCAGCGTGATACAACATTGTAGAAAAACATTACATTCACGGACTAAAGGAAATCGCTTAGTTATTCAGATCCAAAAGGCACTTTGGAGAAAGTTACAACCCTTATTCAACCGTAATAAAAAGCTCTACGCTTCAAAAGAGGTCAAAGAAAATGCTCTTTCATGAGAGAGCAAATCCTGCCGACCAGAAACAAAAACCACTCGGACAGTAAACTGATATGTGTGCTACAACCTCTCAGTGTGAAACAAGCAGCTCAGTATAAAATGTAGAACCCGCTTCCAGAGCATCTACCTAGCAGGGGAAAAAACTTATTAGAACAAGCTGCATTTTGGCATGAAGTAGAGGTCGTTTAGGCCTACCACCCCCCTTTTGCGGCTCATCCACATCAAAGCTTTCGGTTGGCATATCCTTTGATAGACGTTTGATCGATGGCTGATGCGAAGACGGTTGTGAAAGTTGAACGCATCGCTATACATAATATTTTGAGTTTAGACGGCGTATTGTCTACAGATTGAGCTCTCCAAATAAACTAATCCATTTTGTCTGCGAATGTAACGCCACCGATAAATAACACTGCTGACCTCGTATCGTCCTCAAAAGTTTTTCTAACATTACCACAGGTTTTATAAACTTTCGAATACAGATATTTAAATGAGCCGGCCTTGCTGAATATTCGAAGCATATAGCGACTCTCATGAGAACCTACGGATAGTCTGCAAACTGGATTTCTTGCAGAAATCTTTGTTGAAGTGGACATGCTTTCCGCCATTTCGATTTCGCTATAACGCATAAATTATTTTCATTTGGCCATTTTCTTATATAAATTACCTAAATCAATCAACCAATCAAAATGACGGATTGGCTGGCCGATGCCAGGGCCTTTTCCCGCCCCACCTCCAAAGCCAGGGAAAAGCGCCCTGGGGACGAGGTTGCAATATTAATTTGACTTTGTAGCCAGGCCTAATCGGGTGAGGAGACGCTACGCACTATGCTTACAATTTCAAATCAGCTGACTTTGAGAGCCTCAAACTGCAGATTATACAGAGCTCAGCTATTGCGAATAGCGTTTCTTGTAATTAGGATGTTGATGCTTGCTCGTCTAACTGGAAATCCTCCCTTTTGGCTATTAATCACGCAAATATCCCTGAGGCAAAAAGTCAGACACTCAAATACGCCACCTTGACAAGGAGGTTCGACATCAGCTGAAAAGGAAAGAATCCGCTATGTGCCGGCAAGAGGCACAACGGCGCTTTTTACCTTACTGATAAAAATTGAACCATGGCTTCTGTTTGATGCGTCCGTATCTACGAACGGAAATGGTTACTTGTTTCACCAGACGTTTGTGGGGAAGGAAAGCGTGACGAAGCCCTAAGAACGTTTGCGAAGAGGCTAAGTGCAGTCGTGATGTTGAAACAGTCGGGGCAAGGCCAGGATGCACAAAAAACAAAGGCTTTAGTTGGGGCCAGGAAACCAATAAGAACAAAAAGTCATTTCTAACTTAGGAAAAGGACTGAATTTTACTTTGAATGCTGACCTTATTAAAAATCCTGAAAGCGAAAAAATTGTTTTTTTTCGTTTTCCTAGGACGTTAAATTTTCATTCTCGTCGAACTAATTCAAACGGTGATATTCTGCAGAAAGCGCTGACTTTTTTTTTTTTTTACGTTTATTGGATATCTCAATTTGAAGGACATTCTACTCAATGCTCGCAAATTATGGGTAAGACAGTGTTCGCGCGATTGAGAAAGTTACAGAGTTTAAAAGCAGTGGAGTTTTAACTCTTGTATTGCCTGTTTTGGCCGGCACGGCCGTCAATGGGTTATTCAAAACATCATTTTTTCTTACTGTGGATAGTTTTGATTCCTCAACTACTCATAAAATATCTTAAGACTTAAAAAAAAACATATGCATCAAGATCTGTGGGGAGGGTACTAGTTGCTGGCCAATATTTAGTTTAAAGGTAAAAGTTGCATACATGCTAACTTGAGAGGGTAGTGATTTTCAAAACTAGACAAGAGAGGTAGAGTTAGAACCACTAGTGACAGTCAATAGTTGAGGGCCAGTTCATCTAGGGGGATTAAGTATGATACTATGGCCTACCACGTGACCTGGCTTACCGTAAACCTAGGACGTAACCCTAAGTTAAGCCTGATCCTGAGCTAAGTTACTCACCCTCCAGACGTTGTTTTAACGTTAGGATCTTAACCCCAACCCTGGGTTTGAACTACCACTAAGCAGCTGACGGGTGTCACAAGCCCTGGTCAGGTGACCTTCATTTTTCTTTAAGTAAAAGCAAATGTCGTAATATAGCCCCTTTTCATACTTGTTGAAAATTGGGATCAACTTAGGTTTCTGGAGAACTGCCCACCTACCCTCCCCTAAGCCGTCATTTTGCCCTAAGTGAGAAGTAAGTGTTAATGTTAGCCTTAAGGGAAGGGTAGGTGGGCAGTTTCCCAGAAACCTAAATTTATCCGAAAACTGTTATCCCGCCTTTTACGTTGAGATAAGCAGTACTTCTGGGTGCCCTAAGCTACTAAACAGGCGCGCCTTTGCTATTCTATCTAATATCAATCCCCGCGTTATCTCCCAGGGAGCTGGTCTCTGCATTTGTAGAGGATATCAATAATCATCAATACAAGCTTCAACGCCATGAATATGATCATGATCATGGTTATGGCTATGATTATGATTATGATTACATTTAATTGGTAAATTCTTACCTTTACCGTTCGTGCAGTAGCGCCAATTAAGGCCACAGTTGTCTCTTAATGTTTGGAGTTGATACAGGTAAAATGAACCACAGTTTACGACTCGTATCGGAGATTTGCGTTTGCACGAATTTGATGGATTTTGAATACACACTTGTCGGTTTACCACACCATCACTAGGTACGGGATGGTTTTCTGTAAGGTAACCTTGGGCTTGTCCACCGCACCTTTCTCTAGGTGGAGTGGCCACTCGGAGGGCATTCCCCGCGTTGCCAGTTATTTTGTACCATTTTGACCAATCACTACCAATCTCAGAGTCTGTTAAGTCGCACTTATCCGTGGAAGAATCGTAATTGATTGTGCGATCCCCAGAGCTCAACTCTTTGATCTCGTTGCTATTCTGGCAAGGATTGTCTCCTGACAGTGACATAAAAGACAAAAGTTAGTGTATTGAGCGTTAGCTATCCATCTTTACCGCGCATGCAATTCAGGATGTCACCCAAGGTCACTTCAAGAGATCTATCGAGCGCGAGCAAAAGCACCTAGAGATCAGTAGTGGACATGGATGCGGCCAATTTGATGAAAAATTACTGGTGGCCTTTAGGTTTTCTTCATTTTGAATTCTTGGTAGATATCCTTTTTATAGATTTCAAATGATTAATAAGTGATAGTTTCTCTCTTTTTTTAATTTTATAACTATTTTCGTTTTATGTCTGATTTTTACATCTTTTTAGCTTAGGTCCTCTTTAATAAAATATATTACCTAAACAAAGAGGTCTTCCCCTTAACGAAAACACAACTAATCAATCAATCAATCAATCAATCAAAGAAGAAGAAATTGCAAATTTATCAAAAGATTAGGAAACTACTTTAGCATCTCACGTTTGTGTTATCGAGTTTGTTACAAATGCGCGCAGCCATCAAAACTAGGGATAGAATTTCTTATATACCATACGAGTCTTGGTCATCGTCGAGGACGACGGACGAACAACAACGAGTCGTTATCGCAAACTGGGGGAAGTTTTCTTGCGATAATGTCGTCTTGAAATGTAGATTTATTACTTAACTGAAAGCCCTTGAGGGGGAAACTCCCTTTATAATGGTGTAAACTGGGAGGCTCCGACCGAAAGGGGCACCTTATTCAGGCTTCAGCTATATCAAAGGGTGTAGTTAGATCTGTCATTTCGGTCTTTGAAAAGAGTTGAGTTGCCCAAATGGCTGACAGAGGCATTTTATGGTTGTAAAAAGTCGAAAAAATGTTCTGTTTTTTTTATTATTATTCAATTTTAAAGACATTGTATTTAAGAAGCAAAAAAGTAAAAAGGATGCAAAGCCCTGAGCCAATATGTCAAAGGAGTACATTTTGTTCATAGAAGGTATTCGAAATTAGGGGGAACCTTTTCAGTCAAAGATGAACTCTCCCCGCATAAAACTTTGCTGGCCAGCTCCCTCCTCCTCCGTGGTGGGGCGGGGGACGAAAATTTGCCTACTGAAACAAAGGCGGTGAAAAAACGTTTAAACGGGTTTTGCGAACACAGCCGGATCTTAGTTATCCTACTGACCGTGAATAGACATGCGACGATACTTAGTGCACGCTCCATTTAAGTTTGCAAAGATTCTGATTTTGAAACGACTGGAAGTTGTTAATATGACAGTTTTGGAGAGAATATGCTGCAAATTGCTTTACTTCAGTTCTTGCTTAGTGTCCTCCATTATTCATGGCTATTTTAACAAAAATTATAAAAATCTGAGTCATAATGTTCGCTTTCGCTCCTAATGCTAAGCTGCTATTAAGGCTAGTCCGGGCCATAAGCATTTCTGGATACTCGATGACGTCATCAATAATGGCTTCTGGTGCAAGCTTCGAGGAAACTCATTTACTAACTCTTATTTGAGCCTTAGCGGATTTAGTCCCCGGTCATATTCCTTGGAACCTTACGAAAATAAAGGAAAGAGTGATTAAACACAACAAGCGAATAGGTGATAGCTTCGTTTGTAACAAAACATGGCAGTCGAACCTTTCATCATCGTCTATTGACACTCTATTGTAGACATCTTTCTTTGAAACGGATCGTCCATCCGAACATTGACGACGTCCATCAACTTCCGAAAAAGAGAGCTTTAGAAGCTAACTGCGGTTCATCGTAGCTATGGAACCTTGCCGGTTATTACTTGGTGTTACGGTGCACGAATTTATGCTAATTACTATATGCCAATGCCTATGTCATATAATGAAAGTATCACGGGGTCATGGGTTATAGCTTTCGTGGAGTCAATAGTTTCTGGTTTCATAGGTTCCGTGCTGTCAATGGTTTCATAGTTTCATAGGTTTCCTGGTGTCGATTGTTTCATGGTTTCATAAGTTTGGTGGTGTCAAGAGTTTCATGGTTTCATAGGTTTCGTGGTGTCAGTGGCTTCATGGTTTTATAGGTTTTCTGGTGTCAATGGTTTCATAGTTTCATGTGTTTCGTGGTTTAAAAGGTCTCGTGGTGTCAATGGTCTCATAGTTTCATAGGTTTCGTGAGGTCAATGGTTTTATGGTTTCATAGGTTTCTTGGTGTTGAGGGTTTCATGGTTTCGTGGTGTCAGTGGTTTTTATGGTTTCATAGGTTCGTGGTGTCAATGGTTTTATGGTTTCATAGCTTTCGCGGTGTCAATGGTTTCATGGTTTGATAGGTTTTGTGGTGTCAATGGTTTCATGGTGTCATAGGTTTCGTGGTGTCAATGGTTTCATGGTGTCATAGGTTTCGCAGTGTCAATGGTTTCATGGTTTTATAGGTTTCGTGGTGTCAATGGTTTCATGGTTTTATAGGTTTCGTGGTGTCAATGGTTTTATGGTTTCATAGGTTTCGTGGTGTGAAGATTCTCAAGGTTTCGTGGTGTCAGTGTAAAATGGGGTTGACAGGCCTACACGACTCCCCATCGCGTGTTTAAAGTTTTTATAGTTTGGCTCCCACGAGAATGTGTGAGCGACCGCCCTCTTTTATAAGATTCAAGGGGCGGTTTTTTGTAGATTTCGCTCAGTAATAGTTGTTGTTCTATTTAATGCCAGTTTTTCATGAGATTTTGCTTTAGGTTAGGCACTGATGGTTGCTATTGTGTGACAAAAGGCAAGATTGGTAAGTTTGTCTTTGGTTTCTGTTGAAGGGCTATTGAAATTTACCTCTGAGAGGGCTGTGTTAATGAGATCCTCTGGGTAACCCCTCTGTACCAGATGCGCTTTGAAATTTGTAATTTTCTGTTGGAATATTATTTTGGACGAGGTTGTTCTGAGGAGTCGACGGGCTTCCCCTTTAATGAAGCCTTTTTTTACTCCTTGCGGGTGGCAGGAACCAAAATGGGTATACTGAAATGTCTCAGTTGCGTTGAAATGAGTACGCACATCAAGGATTGCGTCTCTTTCGAATCTGTCCCGTTTGTAGATGCAGGTGTCCAGGAATGTTGTTTCCTTATCGCAAATTTCAGCCGTAAATTTGATCGTAGGGTGATGATTGTTTGCTTCTTCAATGAAATGTATTCTATTCTGCCTCTGTTTGTAGTCCAGAGCGAGAAGATGTTGTCTATGTAACGTTTCCAAACGAGCGGTTTAAAGGCTTTGGCTAAGGATTTCCGTCTCTACCTTGTTCATGAATACATTAGGCGACTGCCATTTTCGCGCCCATGGCCGTACCATGTGTTTGAAGGTAGTTTTTTTCCATTAAACTGGAAAGAATTTTCTCGGAGAATTAGCCTGAGCGCTCGTTTTAGTAGTTGTGTACGGATAAGAGGTTCGTTTCTATAGAATATTTCGTATGCTCTGCATACCGCGTCTATTCCCTCCTCGTGCTGTATATTTGTATACAAGCTCGTAACGTCCATTGAAACAAGTATGACGTCCGCTTGGACTTTCGTATTTTCTATGAAATTAACGAAGTCGGTAGTATCTTTAAGATACGACTTTTGTTTTAGTGCTATCGGCTGAAGGAGTTTGTCGACAAATGATGATAATTTCTCCCTTAGGCCATCACACCCTCATACTACGGTCTGCCGACCGGGGACGGCCACTGACACCACTACTGACACCACCAAACTTAGAAAACCATGAAACCATTGACACCACAAAACCTAGCTATAAAACCATGAAACTCTTGACACCACGAAACCTATGAAACCATGAAACCATTGACACCACGAAACCTATGAAACAATGAGACCCTTGACACCACGAGACCCACGAAACCATAAAACCATTGACACCACGAAACCTATAAAACCATGAAACCATTGACACCACAAAACCTATGAAAACATGTAACCATAGACACCACGAAACCAATGAAACCACAAAACTATTGACACCACAAAACCTATGAAACTATGAAACCATTGACACCACGAAACCTATGAAACCATGAAACTATTGACACCACGAAACCTATGAAACCCTTGACACCACGAAACCTATAAAACCATGAAACCATAGACACCACGAAACCTATGAAACCATGAGACCATTGACACCACGAAAGCTATAAAACCATGAAACCATTGACACCAGGAAACCTATGAAACTATGAAACCATTGACACCATGAAACCTGCGAGACCATAACACCATTGACAGCACGAAACCTGTGAAACCATGAAACCATAGAAACCAGAAAACCAATGAAACCATGAAACTATTGACACCACGAAAAATATGAAACTGTGAAACCATTGACACCACGAAACCCATGAAACTATCAAACCATTGTCACCACGAAACCTATGAAACCATGAAACTATTGACACCACGAAACCTTTGAAACAATGAAACCATTCACACCACGAAACCTATGAAACTATGAAACCATTGACACCATGAAACCTGCGAGACCATAACACCATTGACAGCACGAAACCTGTGAAACCATGAAACCATAGAAACCAGAAAACCAATGAAACCATGAAACTATTGACACCACGAAAAATATGAAACTGTGAAACCATTGACACCACGAAACCCATGAAACTATCAAACCATTGTCACCACGAAACCTATGAAACCATGAAACTATTGACACCACGAAACCTTTGAAACAATGAAACCATTCACACCACGAAACCTATGAAACTATGAAACCATTGACACCATGAAACCTGCGAGACCATAACACCATTGACAGCACGAAACCTGTGAAACCATGAAACCATAGAAACCAGAAAACCAATGAAACCATGAAACTATTGACACCACGAAAAATATGAAACTGTGAAACCATTAACACCACGAAACCTATGAAACCATGAAACTATTGACACCACGAAACCTATCAAACCATGAAACCATAGACACCACGAAACCTTTTAAACCATGAGACCATTGACACCACGAAACCTATAAAACCATGAAACCATTGACACCAGTAAACCTATAAAACCATGAAACAACTGACACCACGAAACCTAC